AGTGTTTGATTAGCTCTGCCAGCTATGGCATCACACTGGTGGCTCATGTTAATTTTTTTTCCTCTATTACGATACCCAGGTCTCGTTCATTTCCTCGTGATGCAATTAATGTAAAATATATCTTAATGTCCATTTTTTCTTTTTTCTCTTTTTTGTTTTTTTTCATTAAATTGTCTAAACCATTCTCAACCAATCAGATGGTGCCTGTGCTACTGAAGGTGTCAAAAGGCACACCTGGGGAAAAACTGGATGGAGTAGTAGATGCAGTGGAGGGTAGGGTTAGGGTTGAGAGTGACCTAGACAAATTGGATGATTGGGCCAAAAGAAATCTCATGAGGTTCAACAAGCACAAGTACAAAGTCCTGCACTCAGGATGGAACAATCCCATGCACCAGTACAGGCTGGGGGCTGACTGGCTAGGCAGTAGCTCTGCAGAAAAGGACCTGGGTATTACAGTGGGCAAGCTGAATATAAGCCAACAGTGCACCCTTGTTACCAAGAAGACTAACAGCATACTGGGCTGAATCGGTAGGAGTGTTGCTAGTAGGCCAAGGGAAGCGATTATTCCCCTGTATTCCGCACTGGTGAGGCCACATCTGGAATACCGTGTTCAGTTTTGGGCACCCCACTACAGAAAGGATGTCGACAAATTGGAGAGGATCCAATGATAAAAGCCAACAAAAAGGGTGAGGGGGCGGGGACATGACTTAAAGGAAAGACTGAGGGAACTGGGCTTATTTAGTCTAAAGAGGAGACTGAAGGGATTTAACAGCAGCCTTCAGCTACCTGAAGCAGGGTTCGAAAGAGAATGGAGCTGGACTGTTCTCAGTAGTGGCAGATTACAGAACAAGGAGCAACAGTCTCAAGTTGAACCAACAGAAGTTTAGGTTAAATATTAGGAAGGAAGAATTTTCTTACTAAGAGGATAGTAACATACTGGAAGAAACTACCCAGAGAGGTGGTGGAATTTCCATCCTTGGAGGTTTTCAAGACTTGGCTAGACAAAGCTTTGGCTGAAATAATCTAGCTGGGGATGGTCCTGCCTCGAGCAGGTGGTTAGATTAGATGACCTTCAGAGGTTCCTTCCAACCCTAATTTTCTATGATTCTGTGACCTCAGCAGTTAAGTTTCAATTCAACTTTTCCTAAGCAGTTTAGTGTGAATCGTCATAATAACATACAAAATGAGGAAAGCTTGGGCATTTTTAAAGTTACGCTGCCTCAGTGTACACATCAAGAATCTTGGAAACAAATTCAAGATTCCATTGCTGGTCCTATATTAATGAACAAAAAGTGTGCTAAGCAATAGCTTACCTTAACATGATTTTAAATCATGTTAGCTAGTCCTAAAATGCAAGCTCTCTCTGACATTCTACCAGTTATTGCTGTCCCATCTGAACATCCTGTTCTTGACTTCTATGACATTCCATACAGACACAAAGGGTCCACCTACAAGATCTCCTAGTGGCAGCATGCACATTCACTTATTCAGAGATTCAGGATTTTCCTGATTCATTAACTGAATTGGAGTAACTGGAGCAAAAAAAATGTTCCTACCTATTTTAAGTTTTCTCCCCAATATTTAAAAGATAATTATTTGTCTTCTAACCTCACTTATTCTCATAATTCCTGAGTTGGGGTTTATGTATAATTCATTTATCCAAATGGCAACAATACAAAACGTTTTAAATATTTCTAAAGAAATTTGCTATTACATGGCATTCTTCCAACCTTAATTCATAAGCTTTTACAGCTAATGTGATTAGAAAGTGAAGTAAAAAGATTTTCAATTTGGTTCTTTATTTTTTATCCATAAAAAATGCTGTTGACATCCACATATAACTAATGGAACAGCACCTAAAATTGGGAAGTTGGAGAAAAGTGGGCACAATTAAGTAAGTTTAGTGGAGAAAAAGGAAATGAATAGAATACAAGCTGGAGACCAGAGCAGGATTTACAGTGTAAAATATTTTTTGGAAATTTGTTTAGTTTTCCAAAAGACATATTTCTTCTATTTTCCGAACTTCATAACCTTGTCTATCAATTATACTGGGTGCTTCAAGTCCTGCTGAACATCTGAGAAAGAAAACAACAGTGATCTTAAATGTAACATTAGTGTTTCAATTCCTTTATATCACGTTTAAAAGTATTAATTCTAGAAGAATACTCCAAATTGTTCTAAATAGTACAAATGTACATTTTATTCAGGGTAAAAAGGGGAAAAAGAGAAAACCTGCTAGTAATAAAAGGCAATGTAGAAAACCAAAAAGAAGGAATATTAAGGCAGAACAGAATAAATTGAAGCAGAATATTCCTGTACTCAGCAGTGTTTCCAAGTCTCTCATTCACACCATATGAAAAAAAAGTTTGCATGAATAATAGATGGTTATTGCAAAGGTCTCTCTTAATAACTAGAGTGGTTCTTAGTAAAAACATCCTTGCATTATTTCTATTTACCTCTTCATGTTCCTTTAATACATCCTTTACAGCACTGCCTTCAAGATTCAGCTTTTCTTCCAGCAGAGGGCTGTGTTTCTTCATGAAGTCTACATCCTCCTGAATCTTTTTATTCACTGCTTTTATCTTAAGCACTTGGTTTTGTACCTGTTGTAACTGATGATTTTTACAATGAAAATACCACTGCAACTCTGAAATATCTTGAGCACAAGCTTCATATTCTGTAAAGGGGAAAAATCTAATTAGTGGTGTATGTGTGTGTATATAGATATAGATCTACATATATAAAGAGGATATATATCACACACCTACACACATGCAACATATATTTAATGAGCTTATAAAATGTGTTGCTAGAGGGATCAAAATATTTTAAGAGTTATAACAGATTCCTGAAAGTTATTTTTTTAAAGACTAGAGAAAATATATTATGTTACAAGAAATACTATAAAATATTTTATGAAATAAAGAGCAGTATGAAACTCATGCCTAATAATGTCCAGTACAATAAGCAAACAATCTTTTAATCTGGACAAGTGAATGAGAGAGCAGAACTAATTTCTGTGGAATCCACTACCTATTAGAAGAGTTTATACCAGCTTTGTACAACTTCCCCAATTGCAACACTGCTGTCTTTAAATTCTAAAATTAGATATTTTGATGGAGGTAATATGACACCTATTGAAAGTAAAGAGAGCTAAGTGCCCAAGCACTCTTGAGAAACAGATCTATGGCCATACCCACGCATTGTATTGTAGTGCTAAATATATCCTTGCAGTACAAGCGTACAGCCATTCAATCTGTTTCTAACATTACAAAGACACTGAAAATACTAAAAAACAGTAATTCTTTCAAAGACAAACTTTTATGTTCCAGAGCATTATGTGGTCTTTAGGGCCCCCACTGTTCTCCATTCCCCCTCAGTACCTCCAAGGGGAGGGAGAAAAAGAAAGTGGCTGGCTCCCTGATAGCCTGCCCAGCAGCCAACCGTCAGGAAGCCCTGCCTGAAGGGTTTCTGCTGGCCACCCTGGTTGCATCCCCATCCAGTTTGGCCAAAAAGCTGATTAACAGAACCATGCAAGAGCAGCTGTCACAGCCCCCTGCAGCAGGTCCCAGCAACTGGGGGCTCTGTCAGGTGATCACTGACAGCCTGCCCCCTTTTGCAGCAGGAGAGAACGCAGGCTACCAGTGATTGAGCTCCCCTGGGGCCCCATCATCACCTGGCTGGAGACCCAGCGTTTGAGATGACTTTGTAGCTCTCTAGCCAAGGATGAAGTATATAATTAATTACAAATATTATAATTATAATATAACTATTATATAATTTCTTATACAATGCTCAAAGGTTCCACAGTAGTTTTTCTTGCAGAATTGTTTAGGTAAATTAATTTTTAGAGGTAAGCCAATATAGTTCATTGCAGTGCTATCCAAGTCAATGCAACTCCAGCCTGTATTGTAATTACTTAGTCTTTCCTTCAAAATTAACTGAGTGCAATACAACAAATATTCTTAGTTTTAATCCCAGTACCTTTTTGCACCACTGCAGGAAGCTGTTGAAGTCTCCAGAGCGATATACAATCAATTTTCATGCCTAGGTTTTTCTTGCGCTGTTTTTCAAACTTCAAAGCTTCTTCAGCCTCTTTATGGTCAGCTTCTAGCCGCTTAATTAGCTCAATGACTTCTGATAATAGAGCTTCAGTTTCCTGCTTCAAGGTTAATATGTTGCTGTCTAAACATATTTAAAAGTTATATACACAAACATACATATGCTGTCTCAGCTTCATCCACAACGTAAAGTTGGCCTGTTCACATATATCAGATTATATACAATTAGTCACAAAACAAAATTGCACTCTATATCCCTCTCTTATTTCTGACCCAGCATAGAGAAAATATATAGTAAAATAGGTAGAGGAAAAACCTCTTCTGCGCTTCTCTCAGGAACAGGAAGACCATCCTAATAAGGTACAACTGACAATGTCTCTACTTCCCTTTACAACGTTTTTCCTCATTTCTGAAGATCTAACGGCTACCTTAGAACACTGACAACATCGGGTTCTGATAATACTAAGTGGGGTCTATCAACATCACTGTGTAACTACTGGAATTCAAGTTAAAACACCAAAATTAACCTCTGTCAAAAAAACTACAAAAATGCTTCAAGCACTAAGGAATTGGTATATCCATAAAAGAACCTTTGAAGGGAAAAATGCTGTTCTCATTTATTAATCAGATCCATATAAACTATTTTAAAATACAATCTCTAGGGCTTTGCATGTGCCCCTAATTTTTCAGCTGAAAATTTTTGTCCAAATAACTACAAGCACAAGACAAGACACTGTTTAAAAGCTGGGGTTAAAATTCAAACCTCACTGAAGTCAATGCTGAAGTCTCTAGCTGTTGATACTTATTTACAACAGTTGTAATTGGCTTCCTTTGAATAATCAGACAGTCAAGTCTATTTTATTTTTAAAACAAAATTTTAAAAGGTCCAAGCTGAATACTATTTTATTGTTCTGAACTGTGAAAGAGTGTCAGCCTTTATCTCAAGGGAATAACATGAATATCCTGCAGTGAAATTATTGCAATCAGTCTGTGGAAATACCAAGAAAAAAAGTGTTCTGGAATTTCCAGCAGTTCCAAAGACCTATTCTTAGTAAGTTTGAACCCTAAAGGTCTTAAAATATAGTAAAGGTTTCATTACAGAAGCACAACATGAATCAGTATAAACAGAGTAATTTATGAGTACAATTTAACAGTACTTAACTTTTAACTTTCCTGTGAAAAATGTAAAAATCTATAAGTATTTACATTTTACATACATTATGACAGTTTTAAAATATGTTAAATAAGGAAAAACTTAATTATTCAGAATTATCATAAAATATTTTTACCTTCGCAATATATCACAGTCTCTTTAACATCCAACGGAGAGGAGCTTGATAACTGAACATCTTTTCCCATTTTTGAAATCCTGAATTCAGAGTCAACTGTGAGAACAAATCTTATCATTCAAAATGTTATGCTGTTAAACATACTATCAAATGGGTATTCCTTTTTAGGACAAAAAAATCAAAACATACACTTTTTACAATTAAAAGCATCTGACAAGTAAATAAACTAGTACAGAGGTAATTATAATTACACACCTTCTATTTATATACTGTTTTGAAAGTTTATTTCTTACTACATATGCTTCTCTAAACTTTTTATTTACTGTGGATTCTTAACTCGAGGCATATATCCAGGTTCAACACACAGAAGTTTTTGTCCTCCTTTCTGTAGCTCAACATAGGTATTTGGCAAGACACTCTGGAACAGCAATGCAGGCACACTGCCAAGTCACTTCTGGTTGCCATCACAATCACAAATGCAACTGTAAGGTTGCTGGCAGAAGCTGCTTTTTTCTTTGCCCACCTCCCTCCCCCCAAAACTGGTGTCCTGGACAGTTGCCCCTATCTCTCCCCTCTCATTATGGCACTGCTCTAGAAAATTTAAAATCTGATTCCATGCACATTTCCAATGCGAATACTTTATATCTTGAAAAATACTATTTATCTGAGTACTATCTATCTTCACTTCTACCTAGGAAATGAAGGGCACTACTTGGAATGAATTTTGCTTGCATGATGGTAGTGTTCCTACTTTCATACATACAAATAAAAAGCAAACACCTTATTGTTAATACCTCCACCTGAAAAGCAACAACATATTTCAAAAGAGAGGACATGACAGAAAAAGAAGACATTACTGCTATTATATATTACATCTGAAAATCAAAAAATCAGAAACAGTGACATTTTATCCTTGTGTGAAAAATCCTATGCTTCTATCTTGACTTTTCTAGCAACAGTTCAGGAGGAGTAACTAACTGAGCAGGGTAACATTTAAAAGTTTATTTTATAAGTCAATACCTATTCGTAAAATTGTCTTTTGACAGCTAGGAAGCCAGCTCTTATATGTGTATCACCTAATCTTTGGGAGTCCCCAGCCACTTAACTGCTGCCAGATACTTGAAGAAAATACCATCAGCTATTAAGGTGATGATATAGCTAAGAAAATTGAAAGCTCTACTTGCAGTGGTGGAAATCATTCTACGCCAGTAGCAGATCCTTTTCCAGACCAGAAACATCAGCAGAGATCTAATTCTTCTCTGAAGAAAGTGGAAATGGTGGAAGCAGCAGGTTTCCTGTTTCCCCAGTCAATAGGCAAGAAGATAGCTGTGGGACCCCTGATACATACCCCAGCAGTCCGTAGATACCTTACTGAGCATATAGAAAGGGCATCCTTTGTTTCTTACCAAAACGAACATACTTAATGGGGTGGGACAGGTGGGATCTCAGAGCAGTATATCATGGATGGGTACGGATAAATATTCATCTGAAGTGCTAAGACTTTCTGGAAGACAAGGTTCTTTGGGTAAATTCACTATCTTCTATTAGACCAACTCAAATAGTTAGAAAAATTCTTCTTTGCAACTTTTCAGGTACAATTACCCTTCGTTAGGCAGAAGAAGCATATGCAAATGGTCTGTTCCTGGATGGAGTAGTAAAGCAGCCAAAGGCCAGTATCTATGCAAGAAAGCCAGTCAGTTAAAATGTAAATTGAGGAGGTCGGTAGGTGAGAGACAAGTGGGGATGGGGGGGGAGGGGGAGAGAGGGGAATGAAAGTAGCTTTAGTCAATGGATGAGACACAGGAGGACAGGGGAAGAGAATTAATATATGCATTCCCCTTCTTACCCCCACCTCTCCCCGACCTGCCTCTCACCTACTGACCACCTCAATTTATATTTTAACTGACTGGCTTTCTTGCATAGGTACTGGCCTCTGGCTGCTTTACTACTCCATCCAGGAAGAGCACAGACCATCTTCAGACATTTCCTCTACCTGACAAAGGGTAATTGTACCCAAACGCTTGCAACAAAAAATGTTTCCAACTATCTGAGTTGGGCTAATAAAAGATATCGGATTTACCCAAAGAACCTTGTCTGCCTATGTCCTTAGACCAACACAGTGACAACCTACACCCCTGAAACATGGAAGATTTTCTGTGGAATTTGAAGCACCATGAAAACAGAGAAAGAAATCTATGTACAGCCATTCAAGCACCTGATCATCCAGAGCACCGCCGAGCATTGAAGACTCTATATGTGCTGGCAATCCAGAACTAGGGGGCTGGTGTGCAGGGATACCCAGTGTGCTTTGCAAGCACCCCCTTCCTCCCCCCCATATCTGCAGAGGTTCCAGAGGACAGCTGAGAGCAAAAGGAAAGCACCGATTGGCTGACCACCTGGAGAACCACACCCACCCAGGACCAACCGTAACCCCCAGGGCTGGGATTGCACAGCCAGTGTACCTGTTCACAGTTTCCACTGCCAAAAAGACTCATCAATTTTACTTCAGCCCATAATGGATGACTCCATTTTAGATTTGGTTTTGGAAAATTATGAAGGCACCATCAGAAACAACCTTAGTCATGAGTTGACTCACTTCTATATAAATGGAGATAAAAAAAAAGTAGGTCTATAATTACTTTTATTACTATTTCCAAAGGACAAGTTTTGACAAACTAAGGGAACTAATCAGTGAAGTAACATAGAAAGAAAAGTCCAAGGAAATGAATGCAGAGAAAAGCTTGGATTTCTAAGCCCAGTGCAGTAGGTCCAGTGAATGCCGAACGCCATGCTCCCACTGAAGCAGAGTTGAAGCCTGCTACTTTTGCTTTTTAAAGCTTGTTCAGCTTCTGCAAGGGGTGGTACACAGGACCCTGTACCATTATGTGTACATGACCAAGGCTATGGCCACACGGTCTCTGGTTCACCAACCAATTTGGCATAGGCAAGTCCCCAGCGAGAAAGGCCATGTAGGAGGCGTTCCTGCCTATGCAAGGGGTGCTGGTACCATGATTCACTAGCCTCATCAACCCACAGGAGGTCAGCAGCAGGGAGAAAGCTCCAATGCTGACTCCACTTCAGGAATGGGGACTGCAAGGACTCACATTTGTCCCAGCCATAGCCTTTACAAACTACAGCAGTCAGTGTCTGCACCAAGAACATGCATACTTCCTGACCTCACTGCTGCCCTGTAGGGCTCTGACACTGCCTATATGCCAGGCAAGGCACTAAGGAGTCTTCCCCTTCATCCCAGCTGTGATATTTGCTATTCATTAAAGCAGAGAGCTGCCTGTTGAAGGACCTGCAGACAAGCCATGAGTTCCTGGATCAGTGACTTTGTTTTTTAGTACTTTGAGTTCTAGTACCTTGATACTTTGTAGTATAGCAGCTGTTTGCCTCACAAAGGCCCCAAGTTCAAAAGCAGGCAGAAAAAGTCTCCTGCTTAGTGCTTTTCCTCCAGGCTGGCTTGCAGATCATGTCAGAGATGCCGATGTGAGAGAAACCGCTATTTCAGGCATGGCAGGAGGGTCTGGGATGTGGATTCCTGCTCTGTCCTCAGTAAGGAAGGAACTTAGGAACCACAAAGAAAGAAGGCTGAACAATCCAACCACATGGTGATATGTGGGCCTGGCTCTGCATCCCTAGTAGAGTGCTCTGCCTCCCTCATATGCCTCTCACTGCATACAGTGCACAAGGCTGGTCCAGAGTGCATGCTGCATGCAGCATCCCACCTGCAAGGCCTGATGAGTTTGACACCCCTCCCTTTTCTACAGTAACTGTAGTTGAAATGTTATAGTCAGTGTGAATCCATCTCTACTGGTGACATGAATAGTTTGTAGGGCTGGAAGGGACCTGAGCAGATCATCAAGTCTGACCCCCTGCCATGGCAGGAAAGAGTACTGGGGTCAAACGACCCCAGCAAGGTGTTCGTCTAGCCTCCTCTTAAAGACCCTCAGGGTAGGAGCCAGCACCACTTCGCTTGGAAGTTGGTTCCAGATCCTAGCCACCCTGACAGTGAAGTAGTGCCTCCTGATGTCTAATCTGAATTTACCCTCTGTCAGCTTGTGACCATTATTTCTAGTCACTCCTGGTAGTGCTCGGGGGAACGGGGACTCCCCCAATGCCTGCTGGTCCCTTCTGACTAGTTTGTAACAGGCCACTAGAACCCCCCTCAGCCTTCTCTTGTGGAGGCTGAACAGGTTCAGGTCCCATAGCCTCTCCTCACAGGCCCTGCCCTGCTGCTCATCATGTGAGTGCCCCTCCTCTGGACCTCTCCATGTTGTCCACATGCCTCCTGAAGTGCGGTGCCTAGAACTGGATGCAGTACTCCAACTGCAGCCTGACCAGTGTTGCATAGAGGGGGAGGATCACCCCCTTGGACCTGCTTGAGATGCATCTGTGGATGCATGACAAGGTGTGGTTGGCCTTCCTGACTGCATCCCCACACTGCCAGCCCATGTTCATCTTGGTATCAATGATGATTCCAAGATCCTTTTCGGCCTCTGCACTGACAAGAAGGGAGTTCCCCTACCTGTTGGTATGGTGCTGGTTCTTCCTCCCGAGATGCATCACCTTGCACCTGTCAGTGTTGAAACCCATCCTGTTCTCATCCACCCATCCCTGTAACCTGTTTAGGTCTGATTGCAGCCTATTCTTCCCTTCTAGCGTGCCCACATCCCCCCATATGTGTTCTATGCCTTTTCATGACCCCTTGAGAGGACCCAAAAGGTGAAGCAACCACAACTCCCCCCAAGTTTCTTTATCATCTAAAGCCCATTTTAGCCAAGAACCAACATCAAGAAAGGAGGATTTGTGGGATCCATAATGACTACTTCTCAAAAGTACAGTTATTTTATACTGTTATAGAAGAAAAGTTATTTTATAAAAAAGAAAAAAAATAGTTACTTGTTAAGTGTCAACATAGATCCTACTTTAGGCGACTGGCAAGAATTATCTTCTTTAGGATGGCAGAAAGGATATACAATCTTTCTTTCTGAAAACTTCATCATTACTTCCTATCTTTGCCTCCCACTAGAATGTGGGCTGACAGGAATGAAGGGTACCTGCCACACTCAAACAGGGATTGAAGAATGACTCCAATATCTCACATCAGATCTTCCAGCAAAATCTACTGCATAATTCTTTAAATAAGAGCAGAATGATTCATGTAGAAGTCTTTCAGATTTCAAATACTGAAACATTTTGTAAAAAGGCCAAAGAGCTTGTGCTCTTGCGTGGTAAACTTTGATAGACAGTAGGAGAGATGAAGCTAGGTAGTTAGTATGTGGACTACTAATTACTGTAGAACTGGGAATGCCTCTCAGCCTGTAGTTCAAATACTTTTATGTGTAGTCCTCTGTTCTTCAGGGACCATGTCACTCATATTGAACACATGTCCCTCATTACCTGGAGACAGTCCAAGTAATCCACCCCCATCCCATTTCCTGCTGCTGCATCTGTGGCCAGTACTCTGGATGGCAAGGGGGTTTCAAATAGTAACACTTTCAGGGAACTACTAGGGGATAACTACCAGAACAATACTTTGAAAATACATGATAGGACTAGAAATAATTTGCTTTATTAAAGTTCTCTTGGCAAACAAGCTAAACACGGCCAATGTATTTCAGACCTAAGCCATACGCATGTGGGTATATAGCTGCAGAGAACAACATAAATCTGAAACTTCATGGACTTTTTAACTTTGACTAGTTAAAATATAGTAACTGACCTTTTAAAAAAATTTAATAAAAGGTTTATAAAAAAAAAAAAAAAAAAAAAAAAAAAAAATCCATCAAAAATTAAGAAACTGTAAACTAAGCAGAATGATTTTACAAATAGCACAGAACACTTCACTGAAGTAGAATTTAACAGACAATCTGTTCTTAGCAGTTAGTATTTCCAAACCAAGGTTAAAAAAAAAAAAAAGAACATTTCAAAATCCATATTCAAGTAGCTGTGGAAGGGACCTGATTCCCAAAAGCACCTAGTCCTTAACTGATTCCACTGAAAATCAATTGAAAATGTAGTAGAGATGCTTCATATCCCCTTACCAGTTTCCCAAATCCTTTAGTTTTCTAAAAAAAAAAAACTATACAAGAAAGCATACTAATTTTATTTTCATTTGAAGCAGGGAAAATATACTATTAAAGTTCATAAAATGTGTATTTCTTTGTCTACTTTCTCAAACAATTATTGCCATTAAAACACAATGTATGTGTGATTCTTACCATAGAATTTTCTCCTTAAGTATGTGATCATACTGCAAATGGAAAAAAGTAAATGTCAGTAAACATATGGATCAAATAGATTTTCTAATTTCTAACACAAATTTAACAGTCTACTAAACTTCATATTACAAGCTGGACACATCAAACAATTACAGTTTTGACCATTTTTCAAAATAACAAAAACCATGAATTTGAATTAGGTCCCCAAAACAAACCTTTCAATATCCTTTCAGACAAATCTCTAGGCAAATCCAGAAAGGAAAGAAAATATATAATACCAAAATACTGATTCCCATCTTCATAAAATCTAAGCAATAAGTGACCTACATCATGCTAAAAATAAGTAAACAAAAATATTCTGCAAGTAAAAATAGAACCAACCTATGTAAGCTAACCTAACTTTTCTGGGATATACAGACACTGCATTTTGAGAATTTATTTTACTTTTAGTTTTAACTATCTTCTCTTAATCTTTATTCTCTAAAGACAGCAGAGTTCTCTAGCAGATGTTTAATTTAATTTGTGGCAAAATTCAAAGCTCTCTATAGTGAAGAGAAATCTTCCCATTGAATTCAAAGAACTTTTGACAAAGCCCACAGAGACTGCAACTGCAGGAGTGTTGAATGGGTACACAAGTCAAACTTTAAGGGCTAAGTATTTAGGTGTTACAGCTCTGCTGAACCCAATGCAGCTATGAACAGACTGCTAAAAAGGGCCTGAGCTAGCTAATTTGAGTGCTCATATATTGGTACTGCAGAGTAAACATAAGTTTATTATTTTAGAAAACATGTATTGTGTATAGGTATATTCTCACAGCAGCCCTGACTGCATTCCCAAAGATGACCATTGTAAATTTCCTGCCATATTATCAACAGTTATGCATTTTCCTCTTCCCTCTGCTTATCTGCCCATAGATAGCCCCTCTTCTCCCCCTACAGTTTGTTTCTCTCTTCAGTCTTCTCTTCAGAAACATATAGTGCTAGTTGCCAGCTATGTTCATGCCCTGCACGAAAGTAAGCAAGGCATTTTTAGAAAGTCCTATACATTCATAGATTATAAGGCCGGAAGGGACTTTGGAAGATCAATCAGGTCCAGCCCCCTGCACCAAGCAGGAAAGATAACTGGGGGTCAGCCGACCCCGGCAAGGTGACCATCTAGTCTCCTCTTGAAGATTTCCAGGGTAGGTGATTATACCACCTCTGGAGGGAGCTTATTCCACTGTCTGGACACCCTGACTGTGAAGAAGTTTTTCCTAATGTTGAGCCTGAATCAGTCTTCCAGGAGATTGTGGCCATTACTCCTACTTTTCTCCTCTGGTGCCCTGGTGAACAGTTGTTCACTGAGCCCTTGACATAGCCCTTGATGTACTCCCCTAGTGTAGCAGTAAGTTGCTACCAGGTCCCCTCTCAGCCTTCTTTTCCTCAGGCTGAAGACTCCCAGATCCCTCAGCCTTTCCTTGTATGGCTTACCATGTAAGACACTGATCATATGGGTGGCTCTTCTTTGGACTCTCTCAAGCTTGTCCGCGTCCTTGTTAAAGCATGGTGCCCAGAACTGGACACAGTACTCCAGCTGAGGTCTCACCAGTGCTGAGTAGAGCGGAAGAATCACCTCCTTGGTTTTGCTGGAGATGCATTGATTGATGCATGCCAGAGTATTATTTGTCCTACTGGCTACAACATCGCACTGTCGGCTCATATTCATACTGTGGTGTATTATTACCCCCACATTCCTTTCATTTGTGGTGCTAGTCAGTTTGGTGCTGGCAAGCCTGTAGGTGTGTTGGGGGTTGCTTGTCTTGAGGTAGACCACTTTACATTTCTCTATGTTGAACTTCATCAGGTTCCAAACTGCCTAACTTGCTAGCCTGTCTAGGTCAACCTGTATCTGTAGCCTATCTTCAAGCATGACCACGCTTCCCCATAACTTGGTATCGTCCGCAAACTTGGCCAGTGAGCAATTCACCCCCACAACCAAATCATTAATAAAGATGTTGAAAAGTACTGGACCAAGCACCAACCCCTGAGGGACACCACTGTCTACTTCTCACCAGGATGACACAGATCCATTCACTATGACTCTCTAGGTCCTATCCTACAGCCAGTTTCTCACCCACCTGACTTTCTAGGAGTTAAGCCCACAATCCTGCAATTTTCTCATGAGGACAACATAGGATACTAGATCAAAGGCCTTTTGGAAGTCAAGGTATACAATGTCATTCTGCTCTCTCATGTCCAGGTGGCAAGTTACCTGGTCATAGAAGGAGATGAGGTTGGTAAGCCAAGACCTGCCTGTGACAAAAGCTATGCTGGCTGTCATTCAGAATCTTACCATTCAAACCACTAGGAAAAGAGGATGTTTCATACTTGGTGAAAATAACATACAACTAAAGGGATACATTTCTGAATTACAGAACTAGCACCATGTCATCATGGCTCATCAGGCTGTGGTCTAAAAATGAACACAGGAATCCTTTCTAAAGATATAATCTTGTTATCTAGAAAGCTAAGACCGTACTAATATTTGGGCATTTTTAGTTCATATGTACCTGTTGAAAGAATTTTTCAAGCTTTACTTCCAGCTCTTGAATAAGATGAATAACTTTGTTAACACATAACGATGGTGTATTTACCAAAGCGCAACTGCGACGCCTGGTTGGATAACCTAATAGCACCTCTTTGCTCTTGCCTGGAAAAAAAAGAATATGGAACATTATGTACAAAACTCAGCAATTTAGTAATACTGGATAGATTTTTTTCTTTTAAATCTGCAAACAATATATATATTGTGAATGACTAAAAAGATAAAGCACCTAACTCTAAAACATTCTGTACAAACTTCTATCCTACACTGATTTACAAAACAAACATCAGATCAAGCCAACTTTCCAGACTTTAGGAAACTACAAGTAGAAAGCGCCCACAGATTAAAAGCAGGCCTGTTTGACTGATGTCCTGGATGCCACACACATCCTAAAAGTGGTTAAATTGCAGCTATGGACCATGTTAGCACAGCTGCTGGAGCCTCCATTTTGGTGTGTTTCCAGAATTCAGGGGGTGAACACCACTACAGCTTGCCTCCCCATGCCCTTACTCACTGCTTAAGTTGGGGCCTTTGGTCACTACTGGCTACTAAAGTCAGCAGCAGCAGAAAAGGGGGGTAAACAGCCATGGCATTCACCCCCACCCCTGGTTCAAAGGCCATGCCAACCAGTGGCTGTCAGCCACACCAACAAGCCGCTGCCCCACCACCAGAGGTGGATCATCCAGCCTGAGAAGCCCTGATGTTTGGATCTGACCCACCGGGCCAAATAAGTTAGACACCCCTGGGTTAAGGAATAAAATCTAAAATGAGACAAGGGAAATCTAAGAAAAAGGGGAACTAAAAAGAAGAAAAAGTTAGAGAGAAAGACAAGACAAAGGGCTTAAAAGGCCAAAATGCAGTTTACTATGCTCCCCCATCTCCCGATTTACCATAATTGGAATGAGTTTGATGGTTTTCATCTGTTCCTCCAAACAAACTTGTTCAAAACAAAAATGACAACAAATAATAGGATGTGATTACCACTTTCTCCTCTAGAAAGGCTGAGACTAGAATAAAAGGGATCACAGGGCACTAATGGATCTGTAGGCAAACTTGAACTGCTACTGAATATATTAAACCTGGCTGTAGCCAGAGTAACCTTTTATTTTTAAAAGGGATGGAGGCACAGAAAAACACTTTTCATTTTCTGGAAACTACCTCATTTACATTACCCTATTTACAAAATTCAAACAACCTGAAAATACATTTTTTTATGAAGTCACTCAGGTTAAACCACCACTCAATTTTCTTCTCCCCTTATACAGTTCTACAGCTTGATACAAAGCCAGACTATGCCACCTGACTCACATTTAAGTAGTATAGAAAATTCCAATTGGCTGTCCTGTAAATCCCCTAGTTATAAAATCATGTGAGGTTAAATAATGTCATTGGTGCATTGACACATATGCTTTGCTGCAGAGTAAACTAATTAGCTCTGCAGTCAAGTGTCACTGTTTACATATGCACAAAGCATATTAGGGCACAGGAAACCAATTCAATCTGTTGTAAGATAGTATAATCAGGGACCGTACTATTTTACAGAGGAGTAAACAGCTGCACTGAAACACACGTGCAGATGCTGACTGGGGGTGTAAATTGTGCCCAGTCAGCGTAGCCAGCCAGGGGCCTGCTCTGCCCCAACTCAAATTGCTGCTGTCCTCGGTGCACATGTAGACGCTGCACCCAGAAGCAGTTTGCTCTGGCTCTAACTGCTCCTGAGCTTACAGCTTTACATTAATTGCACATGTTACCCACTGTGTCCTGAAAAAGAATTTCAACTATAACTGTAACTGAAACTGAGTTGTAACAAAACAAACAAACAAACAAACAAAACCAATTCTTCCCTTGCAGAAAGTTTCACTTATTGTCTTGGCAGCAAATGAAACAGAAATTTGTGTGACTTCAAACCATTCCAGATAAAAGCCAAGGACCTTTTAACCTCAATTTGTGGTGAAGAGTCTCATCAGGATGGGAATGACAGCTTGCAGAAAATATTGGCAGGATAACTGACTAAGGTGACCATTCAACACTGCCTCTGGAAGGAATTTTGGATGACTCTATATGGGAAGCTAATGGTCTGTGCAGGGTGCACATGCTGCACTCCCTAACAGGTAGGTAGTACAGCAGTTGTACTTCTATATACAGAAACACAATTGCTCTTTCCACTTTCCTCTAAAGTGCTGAATCTCTGCATCAAGTTCTACATAAACCAGTGCTTAAAAGGTACAATCTGGCTCAAAGTCTACACAACTAAAGTAGAAAAAAAAAAGAGTAGAAAATATAAGACTTAAGATTCCTAAAGCTACATTATTTCAACTTTGCTGAAAATATTTAGAATCTTCTTTTTGTCCTTATTAAATCTATAATACGTTAATACTGGATTTTTCAAATGCACTTCCAAATGCATAAAAAGGTGGCCAAAATAATGTTGCCATTTTTCGCATTTCCTGATTCTCTTTAAAGTATTATTTAAGTTAAATTTTCTCAATGATTTTTTTAAGTCAGCTTATTTAACAAGAATTCATCTTCAACAGACTGTAACCACAAACTACATGAACAACTTTACAAATCCACTCATAAATGGCAAGTAAAATGTACTTTGATAAGAAAGAATTATTTATTATTTTCTGCAGAATTTAAAAGTGATATGTAATTCTAGTCAACTTTATAGTTATTCCAGACAGAAAAAATAATTTTGACTTCAGGGGAAAGACAGGAAGGTAGATAATGCCTGGATTTAAGGTCACTAGGGCCCTCTCTCCCTAGCTCCACAAAAGTTGTCAAGCATTATTGCATGTAGGACGAGAGAAAAGAAATTTAAAATATATTAAATCAGTTACAAATTCATAAAAATAATTAGTTCTTTTTAAAAGGCTTTCAAAACCTAAATCAATTGAAAGCTGTATAATATAAAAGTTTAGACAGAGGACTTACCAGGTGGGGGCTCACTACTATCCTTGGAAGAACAGGAAAGTGACTGTGTCTCAAACATTATTGCGACTAGACCTTGCAGCCTAATTTAAAGAAATTAAATATTTATTGAAGACAAGTGCATTTATTTCATCACCCTAGAAAACAGTATTTCTGCAGGTTTACATAACTATATTGGTAGTAAAAGGCAGACACATTTTCTGCATATGGGTGAGTGACTTTGATATTACAAACCACCTAATGAAACCATCTCAATCATAATTTAATTAACTAAAACTGTGGATAAAGAACAGGCTGTCAAGTCTTCGTGCACATAGCCTAAATGTTTAAATTATGCACGTTATTTTGTATTCAGCCATGAGCACAATTAATAACAGCAAAGATTTAAGAGACAAAATGGATGACCTACAATATTATTTTGAACAAACATAATAGCCATTTGACAATGATCCATAAATATGTAAAATCTGTAAAAGATAATCATGTTTGTCTACAGGGATAGAGAGACCCATGCAAGGGAAAAAAGAAAAACCTACTAAATCCCATGCAAACTAACTAGCAAAGGTTACCACAGTAAATACTCTGAACAGTTTTAAAAAAGACATGAACATTTATAATAAAGAAGCGAAAGAATGCTAGAGAAATGAAACTGCACCAAATATGCTAAATGGAATGCCAAAGACACTATGGCACATAAGTAGCATGGATTTGTTTCTTTTATATTAATGTAACAGGCCCTGAAAAACTCCAGCACATTAGTTCCTAGATTGTTGGTGCAAAACAGATTCTTAGGAGCACAGGTTCACAATACATGCACAAAATGCTGTTTGCTTGCAGATTTTTCTAAGCACACAAGTTACATGGGAATGGCATGTGGAAAAGTGTCTAATAAGCCAACTCATTTGTCCATGCAAAGTTACGCTAGGTAAGGTAGGGGTTTTGTTTTAGTCATGATGGATCAGCAAACACACAAGGCGGAAAAAGCCCTGTACTCTTATACTACTAAGATTTTGTAAAATCTGGCACTTTTTCGATTTTTCAAAAGTACTTTTTTCCACTGGTGGGCCCTAATAATTTGCAAAGGAATTGACTAATTTAGCTAACACATAGAATTTTAAATATATCTGTAAAGCTAGGAACAGACATTCAAAAAGCCCAAGCCTGAATTGATTCAATCTTTGCAGGTTAGTCTAATCCACATAGATTGAACTGGATTTGCAAGTGAATAGACATTCACTTTAGATTCCAGAAATTCAGGCACATGCCTTCAGTGGTTCAGGCCAGAAACTGGGGGACGCTAAAATGAGCCCTCTCTTCCCTTCAGGCTGGAAGAAAGCTGAACTGAGGGGGGCATGGCCAGGCCCCAGCAGGCTGAGTATGACTGGGGGTTTAAGTCCCCACCCTGAAGGGACCCCAGCCAAACTCTGCCTGGCTTTTCCCCCCTGCTCATGGCTCAGCATGGCTTTGGACAACCCACAGCCCCCTTCCCAGCCAGGGGGCAATCCCATTGTGCATTCCCAGCTGCCAGCATCAGGATTTCGGTTGGGAAAGCCCAGGAGCAAAGGCCCGATCAGAGGGAGGGAGGGGCCCAGGAGCCAAGTTCCATAAAGGAAAGCTCCTGCCTGGCAGCCCCTTCTACCTGCTGGAAAGCGGTGCCCAGGATGGCCCCGGCCCCAGCCCCTGCAGCAACATACATGGTGCGGGCTTGCCCCTTCAGCCCCAGTGTTATTACCTGTGTTCCCCAGGCCACTGAGTGCCAAGCTGGACATGCCTTGCTCATTGTTCTACCTCGTGGTTGTACAGCACAGCCCTGAGTATGAGGCACCAGGTTCAGGGTTCTACCCCTATGACTTCCCTGCTGCAGTCAGGGGGGCCTGCCCTGGCCATACTGGGTGGCATCACTCGCACCACCAAACTGCAGTCAGCTGCCAGGTGGGCCGATAGCAACAGGGAAGCTGTAGGGGTAGCACCCCATGCCTGGTATGCAAAGCCATGGTGCACCTACAGCTTCCTTGCCGCCGCCATCTGGTGTGTGGCCAGAGGCTGACCTAGCATGGCTCACTGCAGTGAAGGGGACAAGAAGAGGGTTTATTTTCCCCTCCATCCCCTCTCCCCATGGGATCTCCAGCCAGGGTCTGCCTGGCCAGGTGTGAGTGGCAAAGGTGGCAGCCGTGACTGGCAGACTCCAGCTGTAGTCCCCCAGTAGAAGATGGGATGGAGGGATAAACCCCCTCCTTTCCCCCTTCGCCTCATGGGGCCATGCCGTACCAGTGTATGGCCATGCCTCAGGTAGTGGTGACAGTGGCAGCAGGGAAGCTTGAGGCGCAGTACAGCACTGGGGACCAAGCACAGGGTACTATCCCTACAGATTCCCCGCCACCACTACCACTTCCCCACTATTGCCACCGCCATCATAGGAGCCCACTCTGGCCGTACTAGTAGGCATCACACAGGCTGCCGAACTGCAGTCAGATGCCAGGCAACAGACAGTGGCAGCAGGGAAGCAGGTAGTGCCCTGTGCCTGGTACATAGGGCAATACTGCGCCTATGGTTTGCCCGTTGCCATCTGCTCACCCAATGGCTGACTGCAGTTTGATGGCCTGGACAGCACCTACTAGTACAGGCAGCATGGGCCCCCATGACAGCAGCAGCAGTGGTGGGGAAGCCATAGGGGTAGAACCCCACACCTGGTACATGGGGCTGTGCTGTGTCTCCCCACTCCCACCCCCAGGTAGCGGAAGAGCCAGCAGTGCATGCCCAGCCTGGTGCCCAGCAGCAACAGGTAACAGGGCTGGGGCTGAGGGGATGAGCCCACACTGTGAGCACTGCTGCAGAAACTAGGGCCAGCCCAGGCACCACTCTCCAGCATGTAGAAGGGGCCACCAGGCAGCAGTTGCTCCCCCAGCTGCATGCTTGGCTCAGCTAGCTGACACATTCAAGCCCCTTCCCTGCTGCCCACCAGCCTGAGTCCCTCTGCTTGGTGGGGCTCACATCCATGATGGAGCTGCTGCTACTATGATCCCTCTGTGCCTATCCCCACCTGGGCTTAGGGCCGTTTGGCTCCCCTCCTTCCCTACGATCAGGCCTTTGCTTCTGGGCTGCCTCAAGCGACACCCCCGCCCCAGCAGCTGGGAAGGCACAGTGGGATCTTTCCCTGGCTGGGAGTGGGGTTCTGTGGGTCCCAGGACGTGCTAAGATATGAGCAAGGGGGGAAAGCCGAGCAGACCCTGGCTGGGGTCTCTGCCAGTGT